ATTAATAGTAAACATCTGATGATGTTTCTTCAGTTTCTATGTGAGGATGTTTACCCCTTTTTAGTTATTTGTATGTAATTTGTTACACTTTTGAGTATATAAATCAACCTTTATTTCTTTAATCCTTAATTATTTGTTGATAAAAAGAAATCATTCAAATTCATTAGAAGTTACAAGTAGATCTATGAAGAGTTAAAGTTCATTCTTGTCTTCTCATGCAGTTGCTGAATGTCACACTGTTAAACTTTTAAAATACTTCACCCATAACATGACAGCATGAATTTCTATCTGGGAAATTATTTTTTTTTTTGTAAATTCTGGTCAAATCAATGAATTTTCCTTTTTGAAGGAAATTCTACATGGTTAATATACAGTATTGATTCTTATCTAAAAGGCATAAGTCACACAGTGAGCAAAGGCAATGGGAAACCATTATATGAATTTGGGAAATGTTGAAAAATGTCTGGCAGTAGTGGTGTGAAAATCTCTTTGGCTTGAACAGAAATTCTACCTTCAGTGAAAGCAAGAACTTTCACTGTTGATCTCTGAATCTGATCTCTGAATTCAGTTTGTCCTGGGGCAAAAGCTGGGCTCTCACATTCTTTCTATTCTTTCTCCTGGTTCTTAAACCAGATCTGCTAATTGTGATAGCTGTGGAAAGCTGTTGCAGTATTTAAGGAATTTAAAAAATTGCAACTCTTTGCAGCACTGTTTATCTAGTGGTGTCACTGTGTGTCCAGTTATATCATTCTGTAATAAAATATGAAAAAAAAATGCACTTTTGAATTTCAAATTTCAGTCAAAGCACTTCATACATTTTAATGCCTTGAATCCTTAAATATCTTAAAGCATAGGTTAATGACATCCCTGTTTTAAAGAAAAACACAGAAATGGATGGTCATTTTTCAAGCACCTGCAGACTGCAAGTATCTCATAAAAAATTAAAGTACACAAAATCAGTGACATTTTTCTGACAGTGAAGGACATACTGAGTTGGTAGGACTGCATTGCTTAACTGCAACAGTACCAGGGAAAAAGAGTCCCGGACCTTTGTCCTGCCTTTTCTCAAAAGTGATTTTAGGACATGTAAAAGTTAGGATTTAATTGGACAACTGATCAACCATGTATGCTTTGAACATAAAGAAATTAGGAACACGTTAGCAAGGCTAAACTTGAAATTGGAGCTTTATAGGGACAGTTATCTGGCAGCTAGAAGGACCATAGAGATAAAGTTTTCTGTTCTTTGTTTGGACTATAAATAGAACAAGACAAGTCTTGCTTCAGCTCATGGGCTTGTCTGTTCCTGTTGGCCAGATATGTAAATGTTTTGCTTTTATGGCAAAACCCTAAAGCTTCGGAGAGCGCCCTTTCCCTGTCCCCATCTTCATCATTGTTAGGAGTGCTTCTATTTTAGGCTGTGTTTCCTTGTTCTAGAAAGACTGAAACGAACCCTAATGAGGCTACTGATCTTGGTATATAACTAGAATAGATCAGAATAGAACAGAAAAATAGGCAGGACTAGACTAGACTAGAAGTTCTGAACTTGGATTTTCCCCTGAATAAAGGAATAATGCTCTGAGGAGATGAACAGGAAAACCTTACTATGGCAAAGGGATTCATCTCCTTGGGAGGCAGATTATTCATAAGATTAAATGGAAGAAAGTTTTATGCTAACAATTTTTGCTGCTTTCACCTGGTTCAGATGTGCCAAGTAACAACTGCTTTATTCTTTGGGGCATTAAGTCCTATTAAACTTCAAATCGAGCTAGGGGAATTACGCACTTTAAAAAATGATGCCCATAATTCTCCTTCACCTCCAATTTTGAGCAGCTGTGTGCACACCATCCATCATTAGCCAGGGAAAACCTCACGGGAAGGCTGGTGGCAATGACTTTGCAACACTGGTGTGACATGTCCACCACAGCTGAGGCTGGAAGCAGGGCAGTGCCCTTTGCAGTGGGCGAGGGGCCAGGGCAGTGCCACAGCCTGCACCAGTGCCTCCAGCCAGGGACAGACCCTGCTCTGGTAGGCACTGGGGGTGGTTGGGTTTTGCGTGGTGAAACCAGGCAGCTAAGTCCTGAATGTTAATCATGCCCCATTGCCTGCTTCCTTGTTTTTATCTCGGTAGGATTTTTCATCCTCTGAAGCCAACAAAAAGATCATATTTTCTTTCAGTTTCTGAAACCCCATTCTTTTTTCCAGACTTTCCATTTCACGCTGTTTGAATTTTATTAAGATCTCTTTACACAAAAGCAGAGTACTGGCTATATGATGCCCTGAGGGATCTGAAAGGCTGTTGCCATAATGTCACAAAACTCTGGGGACATTTTATTTCCACCAGAAGCTCTTTGGAGGACTGTGTCTAAGGATATAATCTATCTTAAATGTTTACAGCAGGGATCTTGATCTCCATTAGAATTTAATACAAAAAGCTCTTTTTTTAATCTCTTAATTAGCACATCACATTAACACTGATTAAGTAATACCTATCTATAAAATGTATTTTATTTTATTTATATTTTTTAAAGTAGAAAACTTACATTATTCCAGAATTATGGATAATATTGTTAATCGTGTATTGTTAAAGACTATGAATTTCTTTTCAATACCTCAGTTCATCATTACAAAGTATTTTCACCAGGTATTTTCCAGAAGTACCTCTGTTTCTGTTTCTGATACTTTCTGTTCTTCCCAAACACAGACATGCATAAGTTCTTTGTATGAGGCTCACAGTAGCATGTCTCCTCCAGTGAACAGGAAAAGATTTTGTAAGTGTTAATAAGGTTTTGTTTTCACTGGCCAACCTTGAAATCAGATACAGTTGCTGAACTCCCAGCAGTCCCTTATGTAGCACAACAGTCCTGTTCAGATGGCTTTTTTAATGAAATTGTTTAGGAAGTCATATTCTAATTTCACAAAAAAAAAAGATAAGTCTTGTGAAAAAAAGTGTTGTCTTTTCAAAAATCTGCATTATTATTGGGTGCACATGTGTGCATGTAATGTAGTTGACATATATTTAGATTATTATTTAATGAAAATAATATAGATCTGTGTGTTCATTTGATGGGATTTTTTTTTTTTGTAAAATTTAATGCATGAATAATTATACAGAATCTGGGATACAAATTCTAAAGATAATGATATTTAAAACCTGTTTGAATGTTGAACTATTTGGGACACATTTTTCTAAATTTTTTTTAATTTTGTATGTTTTGGGCTTTCTGGGACCATGCTGAAGGTGCTGGGATATTAACAAAATTAGTTTTCCTTAAAAATAATGTAAGCATCCAAAACATTAAAGGAATCTGGTATTTTAAGGCAAATCAAAATCTCTGTATTGTTGATGTATGTTATACATCAGTGACTCAAGTCAACAGTTTTCTGTCAAAGATAACTGAAAATCTTTACAGGAGGTATCAGACTAAATAAAAAATTTGGTTTTTTGGATTTTCAAAATTTCATTTCTTAAATTGCAAGTACTCTATAAAAATATGTAAATAAGACACTGATAATATAATGGAACTACTAATATAAATACATTGAATTGCACCACTGATTAACAGCATCCAATAGTCCTCCAAGTAATGGTCACATGGCAATCTAACATTATTTCCTGCTCCCATTTCCTGTATTTTCCAGACCTTTTTGTCATTGTATTTACTGTGTACCACTCTTCTTTCTCAGAATAATGCCACACTGATATCACAGATAAGGATAACAGCAGTTGGTCTCTCAAAAGAAGAAGTCAGTTTTATTTCTGGAGGGGTTTTTTTCATTATTTAATATTCTTTTAAAACAGAAACTGTTCTATTCTCAAATGGACTGAATGGCTGTTGTAATTATCAGGATAGCTTTGGATGCTACCTCACATAAATGTACTGGCAGAGGTAGTAATAATTTAACACTTTTAATGCTGTATTTCAATACATCATCTTTGTAGTGATTAACCATAATGGCATTTTTAGTTGGTCAGTGTTCTCTAAAAATACTAGCTTTTCAAAGTCACAATGTACTACATATTTCTGGCATCAATTGGTTAAAATAATTAAATTTTGCTCCCACTTACTGGTGCAGACATTTGGAAAAAATGACAGAAGTAACTGACTATTAGCTCAAGTTTTTATTCCATGCTAAAACTTCTTTTTCACTATCCAGATGATGATTAAAACTGAATTTAAAAAATATGTTAATGAAGTTTTGCCCACGTCTTGGAATATGTCTCTCTCTGATGGTAAAAATAACTACAGATGTTTGGTGTTTTGGATTTCAGAGTTTAACTACATCTCTAAAGTTGGCATTTGCTATTGTAAGGTATGCACTTTTTATAATAGTTAGATAAAAATTACACAATATTCATTGTTTTTCTTTCTGTTCTGCTTAAATTTCCCTGCAGGATGTGTGACACAGGAGAAGGGCTGTTCACCTTTCAAACACGAGAAGGAGAAATGATATATCAGAAAGTCCACTCTGCAACACTGGCAATAGCTGAGCAGCATGAAAGATTAATGATGGAAATGGAGCAGAAGGCAAGGGTAAGGTCCTTTTACCAAAAGTTTTTAAACTTATAAAAATTGGTAATAAACCAAAGTTGGTGGATTCAGCTGTAACTGTAATAGTATCAGCTGTGTGACTAAGACAAAACAGACTTTCAGATTTATGTATTTTCATTGTCAGGGATCTTCAGTGTGTTCTGTACAATGGTAGGTGACTTTTTGGAACAGGGGATACCATTAGACAAGAGATCCATGGTCACCTTCTCTGAAATTGTGGTTCTGTTGCTCAAAGATTAAACCTTTAGCTGTTGTGTTGACTACTGATGAATGAGTTTTAATTGCTCCTCGTGGCCACTCAGGTGGAAAAACACCCAGTATAAACATGTCTAGGTGACAGCAGATGTGTTCTCTTTTTCTTAATCCCTGAAAGAAATTACTTCCCCTACATTATAAGTAACAATACAATTGAGTTCAAATAGAGCTATTTTATTATTTTGTGTTCAGAATTTCCAGTTTGCACAAGTTGTGTATAAGTGACAACTATAGAAAAATTTGTTGCTCTTTTAAGAAAGAAGCTTTCCCTGTGTGATTAGAAGTAGAGATGGTTTTTAATGATTGTTCTGGAAAGCTGACTTTCAGGCCAGGCAACCTAGTCTGCTTGCTTTTCCTCTGAGATGACCACGATTCTCTGCATATCTTCTTCCCTAGACAGAGATTTCAGGTTGTGGCATTTCCTTCTTTCCCTCATCCACACTGTGTCTCCAGTCATGCAAACATGACTTACATGGATCTATCCCCCATACTCCACCAGTGTCAAAATATCTTTCTCACCCTGCTGAGAGAAAGGCTCTTGCAAGGACCAATGTAAGACCCCAGTGTTCAACTTTTCTTAATTACTCCTCACATAAGTCAGAGAACCAATCAGGGAATGCTAAGGGGTACAACTGGACCTTAAAGATCATCTAGTCACAACTTCCCCAGTTTTCTTTATTTACTGAAAAATAAACTAGAAAAATACTTAGTTTTCCATGTCAGAAGTCTGCTGCATTGAATGTTCCTCTCAGACTTTACGTGTCTGTTGTGAGAACTTGAATTGGGAAGCCATAAAAAAGGCCCATTTTTGGAGCTTTATGGAAAAAAGAAGATGGATTTTTCCATAAAACTAGACAAAGTAGGAGCCTTTACATAATAGTTGAGGTGCACAAACTTTGGACAGGAAGTGCAGGAAGAGAAGAGAAGATTAATATGAGCAATCACTGGAAAGTCCAACACAAGGCAGAATAAATGGAAGACTATGTAAAGTAGTAGATCTGCTGGCAAAAAACCACTGCATTCTGCTGGCCAGAAATTCTTTGAATAAGGGGGAAAAAGCAGGAAAAACACATCATTTTTTTATAATGTGTTTGCTTTTAAATTGTCTACACCAGTAACAGAAATTAGAACATTTTCATGCTGCCATAATAAATACTTAGACCAGGATCATACAAGATTTTCCATTTACAGAGCCATCACTTTCAGCTCTTCCACCCATCAATTAGCAGCTTTGCTGCTTTGCAAAGCCATTTCCATTCTGCCATCAGATGACTTCCTTGAAACCATATTTATGAAGGCTGTGGCCATATGGTACGTAATATCAAACGCCGAGCGAGAGCAGGCTGAGAAATGGAAATGACTCATCTGCCACACTGTGTATGATGTACTTGTCTCCTGGATGAGGCTGCGCTGTGATCTGCACAGGGACATCAGGAGAGGCTCACATAGGCTGCAGTGGGCTGTGTAAAAGAGGCTGAAAAACCTGTTGATTTTGTGCTTCAGCTAATAAACTAATGTTAGTTTGGGTTTGGAAACTGCTGTTTCTGACTAGTGTGATGCTGAGCATTTAAAGGGTCATCTGAGTCATGTGCAACATTTCAGTTTTATTCATATTAGAAACAAAATCTAAAATATCAAATAGATTAAGTACATGTTCCATTCCATTTATCAAGTGTTATCTAATTCCAACCATTTCACCAAATACCTATGTGTATTTCTTTCCATAAGATCTGAAATTGAAATACAAGCAAAAGAATATTTTAAGTCAGGGATTTAGTGGGTCTTCCCAAAGCTTGACATTTGATCTTTATATCTATAGAGCTATACATGGGGGATTTTACTCTTCCCTGACATATGCAACAGTAATCATTACTTCTTCCTTCCAATCATTAGAAATAATTTATTAAAAAGGACTCCCATGAATATTTGTATTCTGTCCTAAAAGTTAATATGTTTTAAGTAATGAATATATAAATGTTTCATTTAATTTTTACCAGATTATAATAGGTTAGAAACTATTATAAAAAATGAATACAACTTTTAAAAGGAATTAAATTGAACTTTTTACCAGAGCAACCTTGATGAACTATATAGATTATGATTAGCTTTCAAAGTAAATATGCAAAGTACATCACCTTGATAATATAAAAATAACAAAAACCCCCCCCCCAAAAAAAAAACAAAACGAGTACAAAACACACCAAAAAAAATCCCCAGAAACAAATTCTGGTAGAAGAATAAAGGTATTGCAGACAGCCACAGGCCACATGTGCTCCATTTATGGAGGTCCCTGCACCCAAAAATTCTGTTTCAGAATGCTAAACAATAAATTAATTTCCATGCTAAAAAATCTTTTGCTTAGGCCAAGCAACATGCTGGATGACTGTTAATAAGAGAGAGACATGAGAAGTAAAATAATTCTTCCCATTACCTTTGAAAGTGCATAGGCTAGAAGCAAAAATGTTCTGTGGCAGCTTGTACAGTACCAAATCTGTCTTTTTGCCATCTTCAGCAGGAGAAGCCAAGCCAGTTTAAGTAGGCAGTCCTGTGCACACTTTCATCTTCTGCCCATTTCCCTTTCGAATTATAACACTGGAAGAAAGACCTGAAATATGAGATCAGTAGTCACTGGCATAGGTGTGGATTTGAGCTGGTTATTAGTTTTACTGAGATCAAAGCAGACTGGATTTTATTCAAAAAATTCAGCGAAGTGGACATTGGTCTAATATAGCTCAGGTGGTTTTCTTGATTGAATTGGAAATGTTGTATTTGCAGAGTGATAGTGTTTTATGCTTGCTTTGTTTGGGACAATAACAAATTTGGGCCAATACGAGTACTTAAATTGAAATTCTTTTCAGGGAAATTGGAAAAAATGAATATACTGGTAACAGTCTTTGTTTTTTCGATGGATCACTCTAATACAGATGATCATTCTGTTTTATAGTTGTTTTGTGGGAGAGAGAGCAATATTGCAGTGGTTTTTAGTGGTTTTAGTTCAAAGATAACAAATTAAAAAGAACAGGTTTTCTATTTAAATGCTTTTATTTTGTGCTGTTGTGTTACCCACATTTGAGTGTCAGCAACTTTCCTTTTATCACAGAACAAACCTCTGGTTTTTCCTCTCACCCTCCCCCTCTCTGACCCCTTGTTTATTTGTTTGTGTTTGATTGTTTTTTCTCTGTAGCATTTAGAAGTCTTGTTGGATTCTTGGTCTTGAAATTCCTGTGCAAAAACAAGGTGTTAGCCTCGGGAATGACCTGTATCCCCCCACACTGGCTGTAGTCTGATGGTGGATGTGGAAGATGCATTTCTGGGTGTTTAACAGCCAGCTCTGTCACCCCTTCCCTGTCCCCAGGCTGGACTGCAAACTCCTTCCACTTCCTTTCTCTTAACTTAGGTGCTTATCTGACTGAGCCAATTTAGTTTGCTAGTTTGGCAAAAAAAACCCCAAAAAAACAAAAAGACAAAACCAAAAACAAAACCGCCTTCCTAAAAGGAGCCAGCTTCTTCAGGATTATGTAACTGAATTGTTTACAGAAGCAGCAGCAGACCATTAGATCTTCTCAGCTGTCCTATCCTCAGGAGAGAAAGAAGAATAATTCATCCTCCAAGAATGCTTTGTCTAAAAGAATGCTGAGTATCCTCCCCTTTGCCATCAGGAGATGATGTTGGGTTTGGTGATCTTTTTTGAAAGAATTGGTATTCAGATGGTTTTTACATACGAGCATATGAACAATTGTTCTGAGCAGCACTTGTCTATCTAACCTCTACACCAGAATGACAACATGGCATTGGAATTTTAATCTCTGATTTTCCTTTCTAATGCCAGTTTTGATCTTCTGCCATTTAACTTCCACTGAAAACACTTCTGATGTAGCTTCTGCCCTCACTGTTGTTGGAGAGTACAAAATGGGAGGTTAAGAGCTGTAGATTTCCTATGTTATGAGTACACATATGAGGGAAGAATTCTGAGGAAATACTTATACCTTTGTAGCTCTATAAATTACTTCTTTCAAGAGCTGCCTGTAAAAACTTACTATGTAATCTCAAAAGAATAAAAATTCACAATATGTAAAACAATAAGCCTAAATAAGATAACACTAAAGCCAGTGTTAGCCAGCTGAACTTAATCAAATATCAGTAAGGCTGAAGGATAAATGCAGGAATAAATTATAATGGCCCAAGTCTCAAAACTTATTATCTTTGGAAGTTTTCTATAACATTTGTTTTACTTTAGACAGCAGAGCTAAAAGCCATTTTAGATTGTGATCTTTTTAACACTTCCCAGAAGATAAACACCTTTCTGAAACACTGCATCTGTATATTTCTATTCTCATTATTTACAAGTCTTGTCTTTAAATTCAACCTAATATAAGTGAATTATCATGATAGATTTCTGTTATTACAAAAAAAAAAAGAAAAATATAATATCAATGAGTTTATGTATTATTTTTTTAAAGACATCATTACCAGTGAAATAATGAATGTACCAAAGAAGACAAATATCAGGCAATGAAACTTGGCTTAAGGAGATATTGAAGAGGAAGGCAGTTAAGGAATAAGACTGAGAGTAATTTTATTTTTCTTATAAGGATCAGGATGAGGAAGGTATTTCACAAGACTGGTCTGATAAATTTAAATTACAGTGTTGTCAGACACAGTATTAATAAAATTGTAAATAGAGTTAAAAGTATGAATGTAAATTGTCTTAGAAACAGGAAAAAAACCAACTGTGAGGCTGGAGGAAATAACAGCATGAGTTAATTAGTGAACTTCTGATTTTTCTTCGCTCTGTGAGTCTGTACTATCTTTATCTTCACACTTTTCAAATCTGGTCACAAGCTAAATGCTTACTCATCAAACCTTACAGGATCAAATATCAACAAACACATCAAATATTCTAAATTTTAATTTTAACTTTAACTTTTAATTTAATAATGATGGTTTCAATTTGAACTATCCTACCTTTGCCACTGCATCTTCAGAGCTTTGACTGATTTACGGTTTTTATTGATGTCTTATTGCAATGTGTCTATCACCTACTATTTCAAGTTGTGAAGTAGGGCAATTTCAGAGAGATACTAGTGGATGCTGCTGACCCAATGAATATATGAAATATTTAGACAAATACATTTAAAATATAGCTTTTGGGCTTAATTTAACTATTGTAACTTACTTAGTATAACAAAACTCTTTTATGTTGCAATTCTGCCTAAGTGTGTTTGAGTTGACTCAATTCCTGAAGGAGAAACATGAGAAGGAAATTCTACAGTTCATATAAAGATTATCCCGTGTCATGACACATTGGTCTCTTAGTATGTTCTCTTTCCAAATTATGTGTGAGCTCAAGTACTAAGATTCTTACATATGATGATTCATGAATTCATGTATTTATGCAAGTTAAAGTATAGCCTCAGGTCTGTTATTCATGCGTACTTAGCTGAATATTGTTCTCTACTTCCCATCTGAAACTATGTATGATGCTTCTGTATAATGTGTGTCTAGAAATTTTATAACCCTGTAAAAACCTGTCTGCTTTAATGCAGTACAGAGCTGGTGAGTTGTTTACCTGGTTTTCATGGGTGTTGTGAAGCTTATTTCTCTAATAGGGTAGGATAGGATAGGATAGGATAGGATAGGATAGGATAGGATAGGATAGGATAGGATAGGATATTGGAAAGGATAGGATAGGATATTGGAAAGGATCTACAGTGGTTATATAGCCCAACTGTGTGATCACTTCAGGGCTGACCAAAAATTAAAGCACAATTTTGAGGGCATTGTCCAAATGCCTGTTAAAGATTAACCAACTTAAGGCATTGACTGCCTCTCTAGGAAGCCTGTTCCAATGTTTGACCATCTTCCCAGAAAATAAAGTCTCCCTAGTGGCCTGTCTAAGACTCACCTGATGCAGTGGAATACTCCAGTGGTCAGTCTGTCTGTGATGATCTATAAATTCTGCCAAGATTGGCAACACCAAGAATTTTTAATTTGTCGGTTTCTTTTTTCTCAAAAGTCAGATTCTGTGTACTTTTTGGTTTTAGTTTTGTCAACCCAGTTCCCACAAGTAGCCATAGTTTTCCATAGGATTCTTGATTCATTAAGCATTAATCTTTACTGATTTCTATGAGAATGTTTTTGGAATTTTTCCAGACTCTGTTGGCCTTCAGGCTCAAAAAATTGTATGTACTTGGATGAAGTAATCCCTAAACTTGCATCACAAGTCTATTTTCAACATTCACCGCTTCATAAGAAAGCAGGAAATTTGTGGATATTCAGACTGGGTGATAGTTCATGATTCTTTCAACTGCACCTCTTTTATTTTCTGATTTTAAAGAAAATGTTGTCTTCAATGTAGACTTATTTCATTGGCATTTTTTCAGGGACTATTAGTTGTATCCAAATACTTAAGCAGCATTCAAAAATTATGCAGAAGGTGTCATTCACTTTCTAAAAGAAAATAACTCATCCCACCATGAAATTCAAACTTCCACAGCCACTAGTCTCCCATTAATCCTTTCCTTACTGAGTCAAGACCTTTCTTACCCCTCTTTCTGTGTGAACTGCAGGGTTTCATTGTGCCCCTGTATGGCACCTTGCAGTCAGGAAGAGGTGTACAGATGAGGTGTAAAGTCCAGATTATCCAAGGAACTCCATAGGTGGTTGGGGTTCCTGGATCTTTGCTGTGTGTTTGAATGAAACCACGGAATAGGGAAAGTCTTTACTATGGCAACCAAGGGTTTGTGCAGCTGCTCCTACAAAGTGATGGGGGCGGGACAGAGCTGTTCCTCATGTCACAAACACTGCAGACAACATAAAGGTTTGTGGGGAGCGTAGGTAAGTGGCGTGGGTAGGTGTGAGAGCAGAGCTGGGAAATCCTTACATAAGAGCGTGTCAAATATTTTGGTAGCTGGTGATGTAATTTAAATGCCGTTTTGCCATTTGGAAACTAGACTTGCCCTGGAGTTTTGAATGTTTTCGAAGTGGTAGTAGTCATGAGGGTGGTGGGACAAATTCAATTCTTCCCTTGTCTGACACAATTTGGAAATTTCTCTTATGCATAGCAATAGGGCTGGATGATCTTGAATGCAAAAAGGTACTCTAAATCTCTCCTATGGACTAAACCCCAAGTACTTTAGCATATGGATATGCATCCTTACAAAGAAATTACCCTCATTCTTTTCTCCTTAAAAAATTCTGGAATATTTTGTATACTGTTACCATATTCTTTTCTGCCTTACTGCTAATATAAACGAACTCAGCCAAAAATTGTATTTAAAGCTTTGCAAAGGTGTCTCACAACTGAGATGATACAATTTTTTATCTGCATGGAGCCTGCTCCATCCTATGAATCCATCCTGAAGCTGCATACATGAATCCAATGAACACTGTTCTGTTCACCTCAGATACATGTTTGCATGCAGCTGGGCTGCGCTGTGGATGTTTCTATTTAAGTCACTGCGGTGGATGTTTCTATTTAAGTCACTGCGGTCAGGTTAGCTTGTTTAAATGCAGCAGGGCAAAAATGTTTTCATAGTAAGGCATTCAAAGATGCAAACCCTCCTGAGAATTTAGCATGAAAGCACTGTAAAAATCCCTGTAGCCACCTATCTGCATTTCCGGGCACTCTTTAAAGAGCTATTTCTTAAATGTCAGATATCATTTATGTCAATTTTACGAAGTTACATTTGAATATAAGAGGATTTGAAGGTTGGTGACATAAGCAAATTTGTAATTTTTTTTTCACTTTTCTTGTGCTTTGCAAAATATTGCATGTTTACAGAACTAACAAAGTAGTTGAAAGGGCACTGTCAGGCTGAAATTCATATTTGTTTCCAGAAATGCAGAAAATGAAGACCCAAAGAAGTGTTCCCTAAACAAAATTGATTTATTTATCAGTCTTATTTGCTAAAATCTGTGATATGAGCTATATATTAGGAATGGCTGCTGTAATTATGGTGTGGTTGTTGCATGTCTGACTGAAGCCCAGCCCTCCCCTTAACTAACCTCAGAGAAGCATTTAATACGGAAGGGAAATTTTATTTTGTATTGTGTACCTTTAAACAAGCTTGCTTGTGTAAGTGGGCTGGAAGGTTCACATCACTGAACTCTCTCAAGAGAGAAGAAAGTTATGTTGACTTAAGTATTACGAAAAAATAATCCTTAAACCACCTCACCAGGGGGCTTAATTTAGTATTAATCTCATATCTGCTATTTTCAGAAACCTGTTTCTTATAAAATGAAGCAACTATAGAGCTTCTATTACTATTAGCAAAAATAATAGCTGATGAAGTTATCCAATGCTCTCAGGAGACAGGTATTATTATAATATTAATAGTAATGAGCAAAATGAGGTACAGGAAGATTAAGGCCAAACTCAGCTGTATATGAATTGCCTAAGGTCACAGAATAATCAGCTGTATGCTAGGCATAGCACAAAAACAAAACAATAACAAAACAAATCCTGAATCATAGCCAGTTTCTCATTCACAGAAGAACTTCTGAATAAGGTATTTTTCACATGGTTTTCATCAGTCTTTTGAATTGTAGCATCATTCTGTGTCTCTTGTCAAGCAAGGTCTTCCTCTGTTGCAGTAACTCTGTTTAGGAGTTCTTTATTTCACTCAAGGGAATTGTTGAGGCTTTGTCTCTGATTAACAGAAAACTTCTTTATCAATGATTTACAGAGGGGCACAGTGCTTTTCAGAGAATAGGAGAATTCAAAAAGTAATAATCTGAGAAGGGATCAAAAATTCTCATAACAGCCCTAAAGTTACTTTGTAATTCCCTCCTGTGCTTTATGTGCTTTGGCTCATCAGGTACTTGTTCGTAGGACAAAAATTAGATGAAGTTCACCCTATGTCTTCATTTTGTGTTTTTTCTCTATTAAAAAATAGCCAAACCTGTGTTGAAGAAGGGATTTTAACTTGAAAATTATTTATAATCTCTTTGATTATGTTTAGATCAAAGATAGAGTATCTAAAAAAGCCCTATCTGATATACATAAACCTTTCCAAGTACATGCAGTTTTTTAATATGTATTTATCAGGGCTTATCCAAATAGAGATTGGTTATGTTCTTTTTTCCTCTCAGCTGTGGGTCATAGTTCTTATGCTACTGATGTCTTATATAATGCCAACCATGCTAAGAGTTTTTATTTGTCAGCTGCACAGGAATCTAGTTGAGGAGAACTGTTAGGCAGTAGTGGAGACTACAGACCCTGTACTGTTGGTTTGATATTATTTCACTGACCACAGCAGCTATCTTACACAAAGATGTGTGGCTGCTACAGTCAGCAAAATGTCATTTTGACTTAATGGCACAGCACATCTCATTAGTTCTCAAATTCTCAAACCCACTGAATATAGGATCAAAACTACTGTCATTGGAAGGGTGGTCAGCTCATCTACTTGCCTGTTCGAAGCAGGTATAGCATCAAAACTAGATAAAGTTTTATCTAGGGTCTTATCTAGTCAAGTTTTGAATACCTCCAGTGATGCAGATTATGGGTGCTCATTCCAGCACTTGGTTGTTCACACTGTGAAGGATTTTTTGCTGAAGTTTTTCTCCAATTTCCCTTGCCACAGCCTGTGACCAGTTCACTCTTGTCCTTTCACTGTGCATCTCTGCTAGCAGACTTCTTTGCAACGTATTTTTCAGAAGAGAGAGAAAAAAATGGGTTTAGATTTCTTTTAGCCTTCGCTTTCTCATGGTGAATAAACATTAGACATTTAATCTAGCGTCACTGATCATATTCTGCTTCTTAGAGGTTCTTTGCCAGGCTTTCTCCAGTCTGATATTTCTCACGTGCCTGGGCCCAGACCTGAAGATTATGTGAACATAGCTAAAATTCCAGATGTAGCTTATCAATTGCCAAACAGGGGGAAATGTGGCTTCTCTGCTTCTACTGGCCATGCTTTTGCTAATGTGGTCCAGTGTGTCATTAGCCTCCATCACTGCACAGATACACTGGTCATTGACATTATCACCAGGACAGCCAGTTCCTTTTGGCAAAGGTTTTATCTAATAAGTCAGTCCCTGGACTGTACTTGTGTGCAGTTGCCCTGGCCCAGTTTCAGCACTGACATCTGTCATTGCTGAACATCATGAAAGTCCTGTCTGCCTTTCCCTCTGCTTTGCTGAAATCCCTCTGAACAGAAGCCCTCCTGTCTGGGTGTTTTACTATTCCCCCTGGTTTGATGTTATCCCCAAATTTTCTAAGAGTCAATTCTGCTCAAGAATTGTGCTGAGTCAATTCCACTGCTCATGTTGGTGATGAAGATGTTAAATGTAATGAAGTACTGTTCCATCTCAACTGCAGGAATAGGTTTTTCAAAAATATTTCAGTTCTGCAGCATTCAGCAGCAAGGAATTAATGAAGATTTTCCATGCTATGGCAGAAGCATCCATTTCTCTGTTTCTTATGACTGTCTCAGGGTAAAAGCTGCTAGTCTCATAGCATATTCAGTCTGTCAGAATCCATTTCCATAAAGGCAGCTGCCAGGCAAGATTCATATGGATTCGTATGACAGCACATCTCTGTAGTCTTTGTGATTCAAAATTCATTGAGAAATCTGCAGAGGTTCTTCTCTTCATTTTTCTTAATCATTTCCTTGTAGAATATACTGGTAAAAGTTGCAATTTCTACTACCTGAGAGAATTTGTAGCATCCTTTTCAAAATGATGGTATTTCTGTGATGTGTTCCCACATATTGTTTGGTGTTCACTTTTACATACATTTTGTATTATGTGAAGGAAAAAAAACAACAGTTACAGATTTCCATGGCAACAGTGTAATTCTGTTTGTTTTGTGACACTGAAACAGGCAAAGGATTGTTTCATTAAATAGCTCCTATGGATTTGAAAAGCCTTAAGTTACATGGCATGTGTTCATGTATGTGAAACTTCTACTGCACCAAGCAACTTTTGCCAGCAGAAAAAAAAACCACCTGTTTTTTTGTGTGAAAATGAAATAAGGTTAAGAAATGTTGCTAATGGTAGGATTTATTGGGCTGATACAAGTATATGGAAAGATAAAGCAATCTATGAACATTTCTCTGTCTTCCACCTTTCCAAACTGAATTCTTGATTTGCAGCTACTTCTGCTTACTTCTGTATTAGTAAATACACACCAGTAAGGAAGCAACAATTTCACTAGCTTCTTTTGTATGCAGAAATTTGAATTGCGATTCAGAGAATCGTGTCTCTCAACAAGTTGTTTCTGGGCAACAAAACCCCAAATATTTCCAAATATACATGATGTATTTTTTTTTAGAAGTGCATTCACTGTTTTTTAATGGTTGCTTATTTAAATTTTAAAAGAACAATGTCAAGAGTGCTCTGGCTGTATCTATCTATATGCAGGATCATGGTGCAATCCCTGTGTGCAAGAACACAGAGTGAAAAATAATAGCCCTTTATTTTTATATACCAGCTTCCCAGTTGATTTTAAATCTGTAAAAACTCATTAAAGACTATGCAGCTACTGAAGTGAATATTTAATTATTAATGAATAAATTGCCTTAAATTAAATTAATGTGTTTATTTGTGTGTTCATATGTGCAGGCATATACCTACCTTTCCTCCCCTTCCCCAAAAAAATACAGCATGTTTCAAATCTAAATCTTAATCATTTATATTCATGTGCATCACATATATATAACTAGCCCCAGTATGTGTGATTCAAGATACATTCTAAATGTCTAAAAGTAACTAGTTAAAAGGAAGGAACCATGTTCTTTTGGAAGATATTGAAGA